GGTGCCTTTCGCGTATCAAGCAAGCCGGAAGTGTTAGCGAACCGCGGCGTGGCCGCGTGGATAGCGAACTGCGGCGTGGATTTTCATGCAACCCGCCCGCTACAAGACCATCAAAAACAAAAACGTAACTCCCAAAAGAGAATTTTCACATCCGAAATGATTCTGTTCGAGGAAAAATGTTTGTGGATACATTTTACCGGATGGAGACTTGAAAAACGGGTTTTAATGAGATTAACGTATGCGAAAGGCGCCGACATCAATTGTTCGTCAGCATGATAACAATAGCAAAACAAACAACGTGTGTCTTTCTTGCCTTGGACGGCGTCCCCGTCTACAGCAACAAAACAAAGACTGTCAATTTCTCTGATTTTTCCGAGTCTCGAAATTTTTTAAGAGGACGGCCTCTGTCCGAGTTCAGGCCGTCCAAAACGACACCAGGCCGTCATATGACGGGTGGACGGCCCTCTGGCGGAAACACTGCTCAAACTACATTTATTTATTTATTACATGGAATGTGTGTAGACATCCCAAGGGAGCAAGATACAAATGTACATTGTACCACTACAGGGTTTGCCATGTGAAGATATTACATGACTGTTTGTGCATATGTTATGAATGTCAAGGGTACTGCTGTTCTGCTGAAAGCACCCATTATCATGTATGCATGGCATGAGTAGGAGCTGAAAACCTGAGATAGCTAGACCTCATAGCTGCTTTTATTATATACATATACTCTGCCACGTTGTAAATGGCCACCTGTCAAAGAGGACACATTGCATAGAAGCACAGATCAGTCATGGACATGGAATGGCATTCCAGTATATTACTTACACAGTTTCTTAGCAGTAAGATGATACTGGCTTTATAAGTTTCTTAGAAACAAGAAACTTCCAACAGTTTTGGCATTCAAATTACAAATCATGTACCTGTAATCTACATGCAATATTTACCATGTGAGTAGCACTTCAAGAAACAGTGAAGAGTTGCAACTTATTATTCTCACCTTTGCTTGAGACTGTCATAGCAGCATCTTATGATTTTTCATTACTGTAATTCACTTTATGTTCATTGTTACGAGCATTCGAGACATTTATGCAGAGGAGAAAACTATGTTACAAGTTAAGTTTTCAGTCTATTTAACGGCTACAGGAAGAAATAAAGTAATGTCCTCTGAAGATCAGAAAACAGACTTCTACATAGTTATTTGTATTTTGTTACTTTTTGTTCATTTGAGTATTTAAACTGAGTATCTAATGTTATCTATCTACAGAAAGGTGTGTGACAATACCTTCCAGCATGGCTGGGATGGGGCAGTGAGTACATTGGGACTGTCCTTTGTGCTGATCTCTGTGTTCTGCATCTTGACTGGAATGCCAGTGTTCAAATTCAAGTGGAATGCTTGATCTAATTCTGTTGCATAATCCTAACTTGTGGCTTTTGGGAGGATGTCCTGGGGTGACTGTAGTAATATTGTGTCCTGTGTTATCCCGAACTGTTCATTTTTTCACTGTGTACCTCCAAAGTTGTGGTCTGAATCAGCCACATGTTGATTTCCATGTGTGAGGACAATCCTGATACAAATATAACTTGTCGAATATGAGAATGCATGCCTTTGAATCATGACATTGCCATGCAAATTCTGATGCGTAAATAATTGTGATGATCAAAATGCAGGATAAGCAGCATCTTGGAGAATCAGAGCTCAGCTGTGTGGATGTCGCTTTTCACTATCTGATGACTGTGAGCTTTTGGTAATCACTTTTTCTGTAGATACAATGAAGAGGTTTAAGTTATGATGTTATTGACCTTGTGTATTTATGGCTCCTGTTTCCTGCTTAGGTTTGGATTTCAAGGACAGAAGGAAAACTCACCTGTCAGTAGAAAAAACATGAATCTCATCGGCTCTGGGAGAAAAAAGGTGAGAAATAGTAAATACATTGTCATAAAGACAACCAAATTATCTATTCTAAACATCACTCATAGGTCATCAATGCTCCGACTTTTCAATGACAACAAAGTGCATCTTCAAAGTGCATACTTTAGATTTGGTCTCACGTATGTTGCTTGATGCCGTTATTTCATTTTGCAGACTGGATCTTGTATGTATGAAATTATGTGTACCAGAAACAATAAACATCACTTAAGTTGAGGCACTTGCTCCAATTCACTCAGTTATTTGCTACAGTTCATCCTGTAACCCTCTTACAGTGGATCGCCTATTTGACTATCAAGTTAAAAGCTGCAGCTTAATACCAATAAGTGCTATAGGAAAGGATGGTACTGGTACATGCACATTCTTTATTCACCATCCTAACTTGATATTTTGCTTATTAAGTACTGTGTAGATGGACTTACCAACCCATGCTAATGTTATACATACTAATACTAATGCTATCATAGCATTACAAGCACTTGTGCTGTAGCTTACTGCTAACTCCTGATAGATTATCTTGTAATGTAGTATATGAAGTGGATGGTTATGTAGAAATGATTTGATGACAAGTAATGTTCTGTTTGTTCATGCAGGGGTTTGGAGAGGAGCAGGACAATGAACAATATGGAGATCCCACCATGTACTTCCAACAGGTCTTCCCTCCTCAGAGACCAGACAAGGATCAGGTACCACAGGTCCTCCATTTTTCATTACCAACATCCTGAAGTGAAATCCTAGAAAAAAGCTCATTCAGGAACAAGAACTTTTGTCTCTAAATGCACTGGTTTATTTTTGATTGGTAGAATTACCAATAAGGCATTTCAAAAGTCCATCTTGACAAATTTTTAGTATGATTTCTTGGCCTTATCCTTAGGTAGAAGTGAGTAAATTTTAAGGAAAGATGTGAATGTCCATGCATGTCCATGATTTTCATATGCACCATTGCAATACAGAAATGTCCCCCTTACTGCCAGCTTTCACACAACCAGCTTTCTTCTGTGTCTGTTTAAAAATTTACATACATAACAAATAGGAAATGTACTATTAAGATAACTGTTGGTGCTGCCTCTAGCAGCCAGGCGCAGAAGTCCCAAGTGTTGGCTTTCTACAGCAACAGATCATCAAGAAACGAACTCCCTTGACTTCAGATATCTAGCAGAAGTAATTACTACTGCTGCCCAATAATGGTTTTTGCCATTCCCGGATTTCCCAGTGGGCCCCAAGAAAACTCTCTAATGAAGTCAGGAGGATGGACGAAAGCATGTAGGAAGAAGAATGCAAATTTTCGCATACTTTGCCAGGAATATGCAATCTCATCTTGAAAGTTTGCAGGAAAGTATCTGGTACTTTTCCATGTCAAAATGTTGTTGCAAAAACTGTGTCTGCACTTCATTTTGAGTGTTTTATCCCATTTCCAGATGTCCCAGTTTGCCGGTCTCTATGGTAACCAAGGCCTTGGTGGTAAGTGGTATACAGGAGATTTATATGGCTTACAATGCTGCACAGCGTAGTACATCATGGAATGCCTTGCAGACAATATGTTGTACATGCTCCGGGCTTTGTTAGAAATTAAAGGGATTTACATGCGGTGGAAACTAATGGATGTTTTGTTGATGATTTATGGGAGGATCAGGCAGTTTTGAAAATGTCTACAAGAGAATCGTGCTAGTAATATTGGTATCTACATGTACCTTCTGGCTATGAGTGCCCTTTCCTGCTATCATAACTTTTATCAAAAGCCTTTTAAGCCAAAATGGTTGTAAATTTCTGAGTTCTCTTTGATATGCTGTACTTCAAAACAATGGCTTGTGAACCCTCTTCCCGTGAAACAAATTTAGTATGATTTGTATCTCATATTGGTAGATTAATAAAAATACTTTTCTATATCTATCTTGCTGCTGCTGCAGTTCACTATAATCAGCAATATATAACAGTAGATAATGACAATGATTTGCTTATTCCAAGTCAGCTGTTCCAAGCACAACATTTCCTTGTTGGCTGGTGTACTTTTGGAGATCCATATGAAGTACATGTATATATGGTAATGTAAGATTTAAGATTACGCAGATCACCATTAAGTAAATGGTTTGAGTTGTAGGTTTTCATGAATACCTAAAAGTTAGTAATTATGTATTGACAGTTAAAATTACAATCCATTCTTCATCTTTAATTTTTCTTCACCTTCAGCTTTACTTGTAATGCCAGCGTGTTAGTCTACCAACAGTGAGACAAAGGTAGAGTTCTATAGGTCAAGTCTGCTGCCATGTTGTTGAAGATTGTCTTTTGTCCACAGGCATGGGGGCGTTAGGCATGCAGGTGGGGCCACGAGGGGTGGCCAACCCCCAACAACAGTTCAACAGGAGCATGTCCAACTCTGGGGTCAGCAACATGCCCCCTGTACCTGCAGGCATGCCCCCTTCCTCTCCTAGCAGGTACTGCAGTCTTTACTATAATTTTCTTTCTCGACATGTTGCATGTCATCATCAAGTACATTTTAATTGCCGAAAAAGACTCCTGTGTGCCATTTAGTGTTGTGTTAATGTTGGACCACAGGTGTGGATCTGAATTAACTTAGACTCTTCTCATGTGTATTAAGACACAGAGAGTAATTTGATGTTGTTGTTACAGAGGGCTGTTGTCCATGGGTCCCCGTGGCATGGTGAACCAGACACAGGGCATGCAGGGTCTCAACATTCCCAATAGGAACAACAAGATGCCATCTGGGCTGGCCAGTCCGAATAGTCGCAGCTCGCCCATTCTTAACCTACAGCCGCAAGCACCCGGGTAGGTTTGGCTTCATAAACAAACAAACAAACACAAATAAAAAAGAACGATTCGTGTATAGGTCATGTGTGTATAGTAGTTAGTACATTGTATTTTAGTGTTCAGGATTTAGTGTTTAACATCTACTGGACCATGTAAAAACATTATCATTATTCTATGTGCTTAGTTCAGGTCATGTGCATTATATGTACTCAGTTTAGTTGATATGTACTGTATAGTTACTCTGTTAAGGTATGGTAATGCATGGATAGCATTTATTATCTTATGACTCTAGGAAGACTGGTAAAGATGTTTTGATGAATACAGATGAATGAATACAGAATTCCTGAGAAAAGTTTACATCATTAGCCATACTCTCTGGTTGCATCTATTATTGTAATGTTTTGCAAGTAACTAAAAGACCCCATCCTCTTTTGTACCTCACAGGAATCCCACGTCACTAGGAGCTCTAGCAGGTCTGGGTCTCAGTAGAAACCAACCGTTCAGCAGTCAGGTCAGTAAATACAGGAATTTTGTGTTTAGCAATTAAAGTACCATGTACGTCAAATGATGGTCACATCCTACAGCAGTTCTTGTGCTATGTGATCAAATTGTACAAGGCAGTTGATGCTAGATTTTCTATATATAAATCTATGTACTCTATATCTAAGCTGCCTATTTGATTTCTATCATCAGCACTATAAAGACAGGCCTGTCTTGATTAGCATGACCAGATGTACAACACCTGCAGCAATCCCTGATATCTATCAAAACATTTACTTGTCAGAAATTGTAGTTAGACTTGTATTTTGAGTGTAGATTGGATGCAAAACAGCTAGTGACAGTATGCTATAACAACATGTTTCAGGTTTAACTCAAGTACCGCTTTTATCTACGCTTATATTTTATCAGTATTTGAAAAGAAGGCAGTATTTCTGATTGCTTTAGTGTTGAATAACAGGGATCAAGCTAGTCTGGCATGTCTTTGCTATCTCACAAACACAGCTCTGCTTTCAGTCATTACATTGTCAAAGTTAATTTTACTCTTGTGTTCTAAGACCACTCCCAAAAAAGGTTGACGATGTTTCTGTTGGCATAATACTACATTGTAAATCTGTATGTGAAATCTGTATTCATGGCTACACTTGCAGTTACTACAATGTATATGAATAAGAAAGTTGTTCAAAAGCAATGTTCAATTTCAGTACTATGTTTGTACCTTCATTTTACTCTGTCATATCTGAGTAGTTGAAGATTTGTCCTTTTGTTTTATTTCTGTAGGGTCTATTGGGAAGTATGGGATCTGTGGGGAGTGGGTCAGGCTTCAGTAGTGCAGGTAAGTGCTGTTGGACATTTAAAGGAGCACTTAAGTTGGGAAACGGATGTCATTTTTCAATAGAAAACAACTCTAGGAGTAAAAGATGCATACTACTTTGAGTATACATCTATGATAAAGTACCCACTCTCTGTCAGGAAAACTAGTCTACCCACTAGCCATGCATGAAAAATTAGTTCACTGGCAAACTCCTGGCAAATTCCTGCCGAAGTGAAGTATGTATATACTGGGTAGGAAATACATTGGTTGGGTGTGCATGGGGGTACTGGTATTTTACAAAGCACAGGTCAATTCTGCAAAAAGTCAGCTGATTATGTATTCACTGATACAACAAATCTATTGGAAAATAACACCCTCTTGCTGACTTGAGTGCTCCTTTAACACTAGAAGTAAGCGTGATTTACTTTCCTTGGTCTTCCCGTGACGACAGCTTGTGAGTCATGTCGGAATGTCCCCAGGTCCCCTGTCTGTCAGCTGAAAGTGGACTGGGACGGGCTTCTGTCCCCGCCCGGCCGCACTGGATAGTGAAAATGACTTATTTTTTCAGTAAAATCAGACAAACAGTCCGCTAACACGTCCGGCAACAGGAAGATTGGACAGATGAGCGGCAACACCTGGGAACATCCCTGGACATACGGTACAGCTGGACACTTTTGTCACCATTTGGCTCAAAGGGATAGGAAAGGTCATGTTGTGTTTCCGATTACAGCCCTGAAAGAATAGGGTCAGTAGGTAGGGATTCGCTGGAAGACGGTGATATGATGTTTTCCACACTCAGGTCATAAATTTTTTTTGAGGTTGACTTACATAACAGTTACGGTCGGCATTTTTCCTGCTAGGGTCAGTCGGGTAACCAGAAACACAACATTTTTGTTCCTAGGCCCGATTTGGGGCTCGAAAAACTCTCTTCTGCTTCCTGCAAAATATCATGTCTGATCCTGATCAGGAATATTTCAGCCTAAAGTGTGTGGAAGCTGTTTGTGTTTCTTCTGCAACATCAAAATGTTTCTTTTGCAGGTTGCTGGTGCGTATTTCGAGCCCTGCTTACTATAGGGCAATGGGCACAGTAGTCAATAACAAGCAGCAGTGTTACTTATGCACGTTTCTCATCTCTAAAGACTTAAGTGCAGTGTGTTTTGGGGGGTCGAGCTTTAAATAAACGTGGCATATAACAAATAGTTCAAATGAATTACCAGTCCTGTATATCAGGACAATGTGTGGTCAGTACATGTAGTGGACTCCTCCAGACTTACACTAGTAGTAATATTGCTTACTCCCTGGTCAGCTATGATTTATGTTTTCCTTCAGTATTGCTTACCTGCAAAGCTTCAAGTTGTTGATGAATCAGAACAGTTGAGAACATTGTATTAAGCAGTAGACTGGATAGGACTGACACAAACATATTTTATCTTACAGATTTCCCTGCTCTGAGTGATCGGAGGGGGAGCGAAAGTGGTTCCAATACTGTGGGTTCCAACATGCCTGGGAGAGCATATGGTAAGACTGAACTCTGTGATGATTATATGCTGTTGTATCCTTTTCTGGTAGAGCACTTTATAGGGTTGGAAAAGAGATGTGTTAGTTGACTTCATAAGTTTAATACATCCCATGTGATCACAAAAAGGAGGAAGAAAACTTATTCAAGGTACTACTTGGATGTCTAACCTTCTTCAACATAAAAAAAGATGTTCATCTGTAGCCTTTCACTGTAGCCTTTGTTGTTCATCTGTAGCCTTTCACTTTGGTTTCATGGAAATCATGTCTGGGCCAAGTATGGGGTTATGAAGTCCCATTTCTGTCATGTACATTGCAGCTGGTATGGTGGCCAAACCCCCAAGTGAACCCCAGCAGGAGTTCACCATCCATAATGAAGACTTTCCAGCATTACCAGGGACACAAAGTGAGTTTACCTCAATACCTGCTTTCAGCAGTTTGAGTTATGTACAGTGTAAAACATGATGGACAGACATTTGGTAATTCGTATTGCTGAAAACAAGCTTCCTGTTATAATCAAAATACAAAAGTATTGACTATGTATATTGGGTCATAGTACATGTAACTCTCATTGTAATTTTGTGTTTGTGTGTTTTATGTTCCCAGACCAAGAAAATAACAGAGATGAGAATGCAAACAAAACAGTGAGTACAGGTTCAGTAAGGTGTGACTGCCAACTGTGTAAAGCATACAATTGACACAATCTCTGCATATGTCAATTTGTGAACAGAGTAATGGATCCCTTTCAGCAATAGTCATCAACTGTACCATACCAGTAACCTACTGATAGCAAAACAAGAATGAAAAGTATTGTGTGCAAATTCCTGGAAATGCTTAGATGGATTTATATAACACAAGAAATCACATGACATATGAAGGAAAACAAACAGATATGCATGCCAAACTTAACCCTTTGCCTTTATACCAACCAGCCCACAAGTACGGCAGTATCATCAGCAGGAGGTGGGTAAAGGATCCATTCATTGTCTCTTACAAAACCTAGTCTAGCCTAAAGACCTCTGTGTTACCCGGTATGCTTGCTCAAATTGCAAGAAAAGCTACTAGGGTAGTAATATGACCTTTTGCCCTAAAGACTACTTTTGAATGGTTATTAAATCTGTGGCAAAGATTAAACAACACTTTTATCATCAACAGGAATGCATCTAATTGTTGTTATGGCTTGCAGAGGATTGAGTGTGTGATTGTAGATGGTTAAGTTTGGAGAGGATAGTAAAGGCATGCAACTAACGGTGATCCATTTTGTTGGGCTTCAAAAGCTCTCTCTCTTCCACCCCAAGGTATGGCAGACTTCAGCTGGATTAAGTCGGACTCACCAGGATTTAAACAGTTCAAAGGTCAGTCCCACATTAATGACCTTCGGGGGTAGACAGGATTATTCTTGACCTTTCTGTGTGAAGAAACTTGACCCTAATTTGGTAAAGGTCATGTTTGTTATTCTTGTTGACTTTTAAAAGGTCGCAGCTTGTTGACTTATAGCTGTAGACGTATTAAGCCTTTTATGTCAGTGCCTATCATGTAAGCTGGGTATAAGGTGGCTAGTTGGTGGAGCATAAAAGGGTTCTTAGCATAAAGGTCAAATTAGTTTACTGAATAGAAATTTGTTATTCATTGTAAGAGCACCATAGTTGATATAACAATTATTGGAACTTGGGTGAAAGGTGAAAGTGGTAGTAGAGAAATACTCTGTTGAATTTGAACCATTTTGTGTGGCCTTGACTGTAATTCGAAGCGAGATGATAACTTTTTTACCACCACTCCCAACAGCAGTTCTGGCAAACGATGAAGGAGGTACAAAATTCCCTTCTTTTTCCCCTGTTGTGATTTTGCTTTGAAGTGTTGTGTAGCCAACTGCGCACACTGTATTTTGGTGTGTTTCGTGTTGTTGTTTTGCTGTGGTAGGAGTAGTAACAACATTGTACGTCTTTGTAGCGACTGTGGCTAAAGTTACAGTTTTCTTTGCAGTGATCACGGCATGGGGTTGGTGTGTGTTTGTGTGTGTCCATTTTGCCAGACTTTTGGGTCAGCAGTAAGTTCATGTTGTCCTTGTGTACTCTACAGGGACAGGGTCAGATCCGGCCAAGTTCCCAGTAGACAAGTCCCAGAAGAGAGGCATTCAAACATTACCTGACGGTGGGTTCAAAGGCTATGATAACAACGATGTCTTCATAGTGATAGCACACTGTTTCTAGCCCAAGTGTTTCTAAAGTGAAACAAGGTTAAATTCTTAACAAGTGGACTTCATGTTAAACAACATAATGCATCTCGGCTCAAAATACCACCTTCATAATTGAAGGTCAGTGCAGGTAAAATTGGACCTTTGCAGGTATTTCTGATGTCTACCTGTACAATGTACCTAACCTGCACTGGTCCATGTACTGTGTTTAAATATACATGTGGAGTTTCATTGGCTGTTATCACCTTCAAAGTGTAAGAGAAATAATGGCAATGGTTTATCAACAGTTTCAGTATGATACGCACTTCATACTGATTCTCAGTGCTGCAGGTACAACAATTTGTCTGGTGCAGGTAATTTTCAATGTTACCAGCACTAATGCAGAAAAACTATTTTGTGCCCTGTGCATGATCTTAAATATGCATTAAAGATCATTATCCTTGCCATGATTCTGCAGGTACAGTAAGAAACATCCCAGCAGGCATGGTAACGGACCAGTTTGGTATGGTAGGGCTCCTCACCTTCATACGGGCGGCGGAGACAGACCCCAACATGGTGGCGCTCGCACTCGGGAGCGACCTCACCACGCTAGGGCTCAACCTCAACTCTCCTGAGTAAGGCTGATTTTCAAGTGTTTTATAGACTTTTATAGAAATGCCTAAATGGAACCAAGGCAATCAGATGTAAGTGACTCACCCTCTCTAGCAGAATATACAGAAACTGCACTGCTCCTTCTTACAAACACAGAAACTGAAGTACAGAAACACATATGTATGAACACACACAATTGTGTGAACACATGCAGACACACAGACATACAAACAAGCCAAAACAATTCTTCCCTCCCAGGGATGAAGCAATTATGTCATAACAAGGTTTATGGTTTTAGTTATTATCACATGTTTCAAAGTTATAACAGGCAGTCAGGTCCCATTGCATTGCTTTAAAGAAATTTATGTTACCTGAAATAATCAATGAATTAAAGGCCAGATGTTTAAATGGAGACATTGGCCAGACTATTCTGCAGGTAAACCATCAGAGGAGTGAACCTCAGCAGCAGTACTCGCCAAGCAGAGTTTATGGCCTGTATAGGTCTTTTCTGAGCATTCTTAGGCATTTTGTCTCAGTTTCTATTTTCCATTCAAGCTGATGAAATAGAATTAGAAGCTAAGAAAGCGACACAAAACACAAAAGAAAGCTTAAAATCTAACAGTCTAACCTCTGCTTGGAGAGTGAACCGGAGGAAGAGTAGGGTGGATTCCAGGCTGAGGCCATAATCCAACTTAATGACTCTGTGTCTACTTTGGCAGGAACTTGTATAATAACTTTGGTGGGCCGTGGGCGGACCACCCGTGCAGAGCACAAGATATAGGTAACTACACGTCAGGGTGCATTTCTGCTCCTCCCTTTGCAATTTGAATTGTACTTACATGTACATAACATCCCTCTTGTTTCCCCCCTCAGGCTGATGATTTGTTTTGTTACATGTAAAGGCAGCTCATAACAGGTTCCTTGTCAGTGGTTTCTTTGAGTTACCCGCATGCCAGCACGTGACTAGCATTCCATTATTTTACTTTTTATTACACTCTTGTAGATTCTTATTTTTTCTGTACATGTATGTGTTTCTTCTTTTCTTGTGATAGAATAGAAAATGATGCCTAAGGTTTGAGTTCAGTGCATAATGTTGAGTGCATGTCTTTTAAGATTGCATGGGTAGATGCTCCTAAAACTCCTTGAAGTGGTAGTACTGTCTGTGTGTTTTGTAGATGTAGTATCAAAGACCCCTATTGACATATTCTGGAGCAGTTGCATAAGGCTTCGCTGATGGCAGATATTCCACTGCACACATTTCCAGACTTCCACGTGCCGTCAGAATACCTGACCAACATCCACATCAGGCACAAGTTGGCGCCCATCAAGCTGAACCGGTACGGGGAGGACCTGCTGTTCTTCATGTTCTACACAGCAACGCAGGACGTGCTGCAGTTAGCTGCCGCTGCTGAGTTGTAAGTGTGCTGCTAGAGGCATCCCTCCTTGGATGCCAGCTTTTTGTATGCTCCTCTTCTTGCTACCCTTCCAAAAAGACTATGCATGCACATATTCTATCTGTCATTTGAATATTTCTTCAGAATTCGATTAGGTGTACTGATGGACCAAACCTGAGCTCAGGACATGTTGTTTCATGCTGAATAAGTGCAAAGTGGACCGTGCAAAAATTGTAGGTCACAGGAGATTGATGAAAAGAGCACATTGCTTTTGTTCTTAATGTCTTCTTACATGTAAGTTTCCATATTGAAGTCAACAATCTATGGCCAGGCTTGCTACACATAAAAGCTTCAATGACAGAATTTGAAAATGTTTACAAAGGAGAGTAATGGGCAATGGATGAAAAGATATCCAACTTCTTGATCGAACAACAGTCTACCTGGCCCTTTGCATGTTTAAACTACTGTTGCTGTAACACTATACCGGTCCGTTATGTTAGGTACAACCGAGACTGGAGGTACCACAAGGAGGAGAGAGTGTGGATCACGAGAGCGCCGGGGATGGAGCCTCACGTCAAAACCAACACGTACGAGAGGGGGACGTACTACTTCTTCGACGCCCAGGGGTGGAGAAAGGTGGCCAAGGAGTTCCATTTAGACTACGACAAGTTGGAAGACCGGCCTCATCTGCCTGCGACGTTGCACCACAACCCAGCCGCCCTCGCATGATGTCAAAAGGGACATCCGTCTCAGACATCAGCCCTAACATGCTTGTCTTAAAAGGACTCTTTGAACCTTCTCTTTACTGCCTATCCACGTAACTAAGAGAGAATTGGTAGCTACTTCAAAGGTTTAAAGACTTGATGTTTGGGCTGAGTCTGAGACTCTAGAATAGATGTCAGGATATATCAATGTGTGAAGGAACAGTGATGATGTCTCAGTGAACATTAGTGTGTCAGTGCTTTATTAGAAGTAACCCTCTATATAGGCTACTGACCATCATGGCCAGTATCCTTGTCAATATTGTCTAATACTTCCACTTATGCCATTGTCAAATGGACAAGACTGTTCCTTTCTCAGAAACCGTGTTGTAGTTTGGGTCTTATTTACTTTAATTGGTCATGTTTGCTTGTGGAAATTTTTGGTCTCGTTTCTCAATGGTCGCATTCTCAGTGACCACATGCCCCTATACTGTGCTGCTAGTGTTCACTGAGACAGATCTGTGTGTATATATAGAGGTAGATTTTGGCAACATCCAACATGGCAGGGTAGATCAGCTGGAGGTGGAAAGAGCAAAAGGGCAACTATGAACATGCACAGACACCTAAATGTATGGGAGTTCTCCATGTGAGCTCCTGCAAGGGCAATGTGTTGTTCCCAAAGATGGAAATGTTCAGACCTACAGATTCCTCAGTATAGTGTACCAAGGCTGGTTGTAGATTTACTGTCAAACCCACCAAACCAAACCAGACAACCAGCCATTCAATATTGTGACCAGAAGACAAGATATGTAAGAAGCTTGGAGTTGTTGTGTCTTCAAGTTTGTCTACATGGTTGAAGGATCCTAAAAAGGAGTTAGTGTACCTCTTTAGGATACTACAAGCTAACAATGTGTACAATGCCAATGTACAGAGTTGAGTCGTAACCCTGCCTAGGTAGGGGAGACGTGACATTTGTAAACAATGCACTTTAGCCGTGCCTTGTGGAGACGTTTTTAACCAGAGCACAGGGGCCACGCAAGCCAGAACATTGATGTGAATATCCTGTACATCAGTGAGTTTATCAAAGTCAGATATGAATTGTGATGGCTTGTGTGGGTGCTGTGCTCTCAGGACCAGCGGATGGGCTACCCCTATGTGGGTAAAGGAGTGAGGCTGTGAGACCTGCTATGTCAGTAATAAAACCCTTCTCAAAATATGTCAGCTTCTGAATCTTCCTCATTTCCAGATAGGTTAAGCCAGATGTCAATGGTTGTTTTTATCCAGAAGAACCATGGAATGGGCATGTACTTAGAATATTCAATTTGTGAAGCTGCTAAACATCCCCAGTAGGACTAAATGGCGTTTCCCTTGCTATTTCCCTGGTTACTAAGGTTATATCAAGGATTCTCTGCCATCACACTCGTGTTTAACGGGATTTTGTTTGGTTTGCCATTGATTTGAAATCTTTTAAACAACCTGCCACTCAAGATGAAACTGACATTTTCTGCTGCATTTGCTGAGATCTAGAGTGGTTCAATATTTGAAGCTGCTAAGCCAGGATAAGGTCGATTCTTTTTTGGGGTGCAAAAGAGACAGGATAATGTAGCAAGTACGTTCCTAATATCTTTTAAGTAACCAGTTAAGGTCGCCGTACCTTGGTACAAACTCCTTAAAGCACGGCGTCGTGGCAACAGCAGACCCAGGAGGGTGCCGTCCGCATGACGTCATGAGTGTTCGGCTTGTCGCCATGGCAACAGATCCTTATTTTTGCGTCGTTAGAAATGAATAGTAGACAAGACGCTCCATGCACTATTTACATCAGCTTCATTGAAGAACATCATTTGCCGGTGAAAGCAGAAGATTTTATGTGGGTATTTCGTCCTTATTATTAGATGCTAGATTCTGGTAGGGATTTCTACCTTTCAGTGGTCAATCTCATTGCGCTCAGATCTAACGCACACTTAAATAAATAACTGTTTTAAATCCTTGTACCGTTTGCTTCTATAATTAAAAAAATGAAACGATTCGGGACTATCTATGAAACTAAAATGTCCGCACACTGACGTGTTCGTTTACGGTGCACATTTATGCTTCGCTGAGCTCACTGCCTTTTGAAGCACAGTCAGCTAAGGTTGGTGTTCGCTTTGATAGACACTGAAGTTTTGTTCTTTTTCTCCTCGGACGTCGCCTTGGCAAGAAAATTAGGAACACGCAAGAGGAATTTTTGGTGACATTTGTTTTGTAATCACCACATGTCTGTTTTGATGTAAACTCTTAATTTGTCCTCTTGTTTTGCCTTACATGCTCCAATGTAAGAGATACATATATGTGATCTGATGAGGCATATTCTTATATCTAATAATAACAAAATTCTTGCATTAGCGTTTGTCTTACACTCGATTACCAGACCTTTGCTGAATGTGCAGTTTTGCTGTTTTGTATTGTGATCCGGGCGGCGAAATTTGGCCTAATGTGTTGGCAGACTGGACGCGTTGATTGAATGACCGATAGCGCAGTGGTGGGGTTGTGTTTGCGCGCATTGACTTACCCCCAGGAGCCTTTATCGGATTACGCGGACAAAACTACTATTACCTCCGCCGCTTATCTTCTAAATCCAACTAAGGTTTGGGATAATAGTTCTTTCAACCGTGGGCAAACTATGACTGACAGCGAGAAAAGGAAAACTAATACGTGGCGAGGAAACGTTAGTCTTGACCTTTGCAGTTCGGCACGTATCAGACATTGTTCGGTTTTACCAACTCGAAATTATCGAGAGAAAAAAACTCTTATGAAGTAATGTACTAAGAATCTAGTTATATTGATTTTAGAAAATGAAGACAATAGATCAATACAGACGTCCTGTAGTTGAAAACCTGAGAACAGACCCGCCTTAGAATGAATGAACACGGGCAAACTTTTCTATTGTCAGGTTCCTTCATGCTGAAGACAGCGGGCTCCAATCCCTTAATCCCTCCCTTTGAGACGATCTGGACTAAGACGTTCTGAGCGATGTCTTCTGATCCAGATTAATTAGAAGTCAAAGAAAGCTCCAAGGCAACGACGCCGAGCGGGAAAGCCGGCCAGCCGTCTCCTTGGCTGCTAAGTTTGTACACACAGCCTTATGAAACATTAGTCATACCATGTTTACTTCGCAATTGTATAGTCATTGTCGCCACCCCTTTTGCTGTATTGTGTGTATGGCAATAGGGAGCACACCGCTGAAACACAACACACTGTGTTAGAACGGCAATACGGGTAGCGACGGCGGACACCGACGGGACGGATATTTCACCTGCAACACTTGCTTCAGGAGTTAACGGAGAGCCGAACAACTCTCATCTGATGACAGACGTTGGTTTTCCGTCTGTCTTACCTGCCCAGGTGTTCTGACAGGTGTCACTAGACACACGTACACATCGGAAAGGTGCGACCAACGTCTCTTCAGTACGGATGACCTATCTTTCCTAGAGCATCTTCCCAGCAACACCAACAGGTGAACATTTATAGAAGAGCCTTTGGAATCATTTGTAATTTTCACGTCTTAAGTATGTATTGTAGTGGTTAAGGCAGCGGATTTCAAATCACGGATCGTTTGAAGCGTAAGTTTCCTAATGAGATTTAGTTCGCTGTGGAACAAAGCCGGCCACAGAGAGTATAGAGACCGTGTCTTGTTTACGCGGCGGAGCTCCGACCGGCTTACAAAGTAAACACAGCCGACACGACACGGTCTGTCAGAACCAGCCGTTCTACACAGGACAGAGGTGAAACCCAAGGTGTCTCTTTTATGGCTTCAGTTGTACAATTGTTCACGGATGCTTGTCTTTCTTTCCCCGGAGAAAAGACCTTTTTAAACGCTTTTAATCGTCACAAGCTAATATCTATTTCTGTCCCGTGATTATTTTGGGCGGCTCGTCAAAAGGAGACATACGTCAGTTCAGATATTACTATACACGGCATAATTCATTAGCCGTCTTATGTGATGTTGGTTTAACCCTTTGGCAGTTGACATACGAGCATCCATTTCGTTTGCGGCACAACACAAACATTTGTACAAGTTTAACCTTCTTTAGGATATAGACTAACGTGTCATTCGAAGTCATAAGTCACATTGAACAAATTCCTTATGAAACGTGATAAATTGTGAACTTTGTAAAGTCTTGTTCACGTGGTATTCGACTAACGCGCTCCCCGTCAGCTAAAATCCATATCTTTACCCTTATATAGAAATATTGATAATAGAAATTTTGACAGTAAAAAAGCAACATGAATGACATGTAAATTTCATACATAAAAATCGCTGAGTTTTCCTCCTGTGGCCCAACAGGTGTGGCGACGGCCCCTCCCTACACTGTTACCAGGGACGCAGTCTTGACTTCTTGAACCTTACCACATTGTACGGATTAGCTTTTGTCTTGCTATATATACTTAGCACTATTAGGAGGCGATTTGTTTCACATGCCGGGAGTGTGGGGTGAGATTTAACTTGCGGCTGTCACTTTGTAATGACCGTCAGGTGAGTTTAGCAAACAAAATATTCCCTCGGAGTGCGGGCGGTTTTGCACGTAAAAGTACACGTTACCGGAACGGGACTTTCATTTCTAGAACCCCCGTGAGGCGATATGTTTGTCACATTTGTCAGCTCGGTTACCGCCGTCTTTTGTGATGTTTCTTTACATAAAAACATCGGGGAAATATCGGGCTCCAATCAGATAAGGGCCGCGATGTTGCCGGGATAAAGCCGGGTGAATGGTATCCATGCGGCGGGTGGAGGATCAAAATATCCCCGGCATTCCTGGTCCCTTGTGCCTCGCTCAATCGCGGGTCTATCTCTGCTGCGATGTTATCAGCTTGTATGGAAACGACTGGATTCGCGTTAAGTCTTGGTTAAACACTCAGTCTACAAACATGTTTTAGTCTCAGCGATTGGCTGCGAGGTCTTAACGATTGTTGAAAATTTAAGGGCTCGTTTTTCGGACTCGTTTTTGGCTCGGCTCAAATCTGTATCATAAATCTGCCGCAGAAGTTTTCACCGAGGCTGAATTGTAAAGACCAATCTTTTTTTAGCTGACGTTGTCTCTAATTCATCGGAAACAAATTGCCCCACGCCACATGTAAAGGTATGTGCGAAATACTAGTAACTGCCGGTTGGTAGGTACTGATCAGACTCAAATGACCTACTAATGATTTAACGCCTCTATCGTACTTTAAAGATGACTTTCAGCACTTAGTACGATAGTTGTTGTTTCACAGTGGCCAGTCGTGCGATTTTATTTATACAAGTCTTTTCTTGCTGGTTGATGTTGCAGGTTGAGGTGCAGCGATGATTGGCGGAGTGGACCAGATCTTGTACAGCGTGGCCTGCCAGCTCAAGTCGCCGGACTGGAAGGCGGTAGCCAAGCGGCTGGGGCTGAGCGATCGGCAGGTCCGGCACATCGCCGATAACTGCTACTCGGACCTGCGGCAGCAGCCGTACCAGGCCCTGCTGCAGTGGCGGCGCGCCCGCGAGGAGGCCACGGTGGTGGAGCTGGTGCAGGCCCTGAAGGACAGCGGGCAGGCCACGGTGTCTGAGTACATCGAGAGGACGTACCTCGCTCCTGACGCCAACCAGGGTAGGTTTTTAGACGCACTTTATTGGTAATCTTCTAGTAGATCTTTTGATGGCTGCAACAAAGTATCAAATTGGCAGGGCTGTATCCATTTGCCACCCGACGTTTGGCTGGCGTAGAAAAAAAGAAACCAGTACAAGGAAGGCTAGAGAAAAACTCGGACCAACAACGGATCATGGGTAGGACACCTTTTCACATTTAAGGCATTAAGAGAAACCAGTAATGCACATACTTGAACAAAAAGTACAAGAAGTACGGGTTAATGTATATCCCTCAAAACTCTTCGATACATCGTATCCCTGATAGGCTAAAGCAAACTCGCACGCAAAATGGACTTAAAGTTATCGAGTTGTGGGGAAAACAATTTCTGAAATGCTATGTATATGTCAATAACTATATCTGTTTATGTGATGCCTGTAGATGCCTTGATTTTACATGTCGACCGAGTTATCGTACCGTACCGGAGAGGGTCGGAAGTAAATTAGCACCAACAGACAGTGGCAATGCGATAACTTCAATTATGACATGTGCAGCTAACAATAGCAGTTTTCTTAAGTATGCTTTAGCAAGATATCTTCGTTTTTTTTTAAGGATAATGGTAGTATTGACAACAACAATAAGGCCAGTGCACCCTCCGGCGTGAATACTACAGAAGAATAGTTTCCCTGCGGCAACACGTTTCCTTTGTTTGCGACATGGATACTGTTGCTACCCGGCGTAGATCAGACTGACAGTATTTTGATAACGTGTGTTTCAAGTGTGTGTTGCCGCGTACAAGCATGGACTAATCTTAGCAACAAAGCAATTTTAGTTCATTTCAACTTTATTCGACAAGGTATGGCATGTATAAAATCCAAATACAGAACTTTGCAAAGTACAACCCTTATCGGGACTCAAGAGACTGAGTAATTATGCTCTTCTAGTCTTTAGTTAATGATTTGTGGGCATGAATCGGCCCGAGTGAGGTTGCCATGTCGAGTTTTTTTTCTTCATTTTCTATGTTTGCATAACGCTCAGATGCCAACATGTCGGTGGGGTACCGACAGATCATCTTCCTGAACCGCCCGACGCTGGAGCGGGAGGTCCGGGTCGATCCCGTGGTGGAGTACCTGGCGGAGAAGGGCACGCTGGGTAAGGCGCAGCAGTCGGAGCTGAGGCGGGTGGGGACGTCGCGAGGCCGGCTGCTCAGGTTGTTGGACATGCTGCCGGTCCTCGGGGACCAGGCCTTCCACGACTTCTGCGACGCCGTCAGACACGGGGCCGGACAGCCCGACTTGGCGGATGTCTTGGAGAGACCGGGTAAGATCCGTAGAGGTTTTAATGTTCATATTCTTATTGCCATCAATATTCAGTATATTTGGAACAAGTTTACTACTGTGATTAGCAGTGAGCCTATTGTTTGTATAACACACTGTGTAACAGCGCGGCACGTGTCACGTTTAACTAAATTTAAAACAGGGCCATTCTCAGTAGACATGAAATACCTAGTCTGACTACATCATGCTTTCAGCAGGTCCTTCCACCATGGTCAGGCCTCTTGCAGTGCTAGTAGATCAAGGCACATACGGTGTTTGTCTATTGAAGCAGCGCGGAACTGGCTGGAGTGGATTGGCGACAAGCTATGATGATGTCTATTGAAAGCTATGGACATTTACTACTCCTTGTTGAACAACCGTTGATGCTTCTTTCTTTCCTTCCTCCCTTCCAGCGGAAAAAGTCAGAGTCCCGCGAGTCCCGCCGATCGACATGACGGAGATGCAGACAGACGATACCGAGGACAGCAGCTACAGGAGCACGCCGGGTACGTGATGGTTCTCACTCGGGATGTACAATGTAGAAAAGATGTGAACAAACTTGTCACTTATGTCTTGTTGTGATAAAAGTTGCAGAATATGCATTATTATACTAATCATCTGGTCTTAAGGAATTAATCACACTTAATTGGGTATGCATAGGCAGGCAACACGACAGGAAGCTCCAGACGCTTCCAGCAAAAGAAATGATGGTTAGAGATAGCCTAGGTGCCATCCTCCGTAGTTTCCGCCGGCTCCCCCTGTCGCTGGCTACCGTAGCCAGCGACATAAGGGAGCCGGCAGAAACTACGGAGGTGGCACCCAGGCTTAGTAGTAGTATGTACAAATTCACTCGAGTTTGTGTTCATTAAGTCCATGCCATTCATTCCATCCACTGTTTGTTGTTTCCAATCCAGAACCACCAGTCCGCCCAATGATCATCACAAACGGAATCCGTCCCAGGAAGGGTGAGCCCGTCCAGGTGTCCAAACTCGGCCACGCAGTCACCCTCAAATGCAAATTCTACCTGAACCCCCACCTGCCGCCCAGAATAACGTGGCTCAAAGGTCGCAAACTGTCCACGGCGACAATCATCTTCGACGGGTTCTTCTACCGGTCCAACGCACCCTACTCCCCGAGAGAGTTCACGCAGGCCTTCGGGGAATATGAGCATCGGCTCCGGCTGGACGAGCGCGAGTTCCCGGCGATCACCCTGTACCACGTAGGGCCTGAAGACGCTGATAGGTACTGGTGTAGGGTGTCCGCCAAGAGGACCATCACAGGCTCTGTGGTTCTACAATGTTCAGGTCGGTACTAAACCTAGTGTATGATTTTAGCTAGCGGGCGATTTGTCTGCTCCGTTTATCCGAGGAATCACTTTACCCCCTGCTATAAGATAATGTTGTAAACAGATCCCATAATTACTACTATAAGTTGGGCCTATTCAGCTAATAATAACTAGGTGTCTGGACGATAATAATGTCTTACAGACAGTTCGATTGTTAACATGCCTCTAAACCAACCATTATCATGCCATTGACCAGCGACAGCAAAAACTGTTATGTTTTCAAGAAGAGTATCATCTCCAGTTTAGTACAATGAGATCCAGGCTCATGTTACGTTCACTTGTATAGAAATGGACAGAAGATTGATATAGTATAAACATCTAGGTTATACGTCTTCTACTAACATACGTATTACGTAAAGAATCCAACTCAACTAACCCTAGTGAAACCCTTCACTTCAGTTAAGGTTGACAAAAGGACATGCATTTTTCACCAAACCTTTTCAAGAGAAACGTTTCACCAGAATTTTTGCACCACACCCACCTCTCCAAACTGGTAAAACCGCCATCCATAACCTACAGTATAAGAAATTGTCGTCTTATTTCCTTCTCAGACGACCCCGAGACGGTTGCCAGGCAGACGCCACGAGAGAACTCCCCGGTGCCCCTGAGAGTGACTCCCCGGTCCCGCAGCGGCTCGCCCCGCAGGGTACGCCTTCAACGAGCGGGACAGGTGGATCCAGACCGCCGACGAGACGTACCTCAACAGACGGCGTTTTGCTGACCAACTGTGCTGATGAATGTTATACTTATAGGCTGTTTTGTAGATTATAAAAATATTACATTGATTTCGCTTGTTCTTTGATAGATAAAATAACACAGAATGATCTTCAATGTAATGGCTCTCCCAGTCAGCACAGTTTGTACATTTTAGTCCCTTTATAATATCTTGTATATCTATCTGTGACAGTTGAAATGAGAGACTTCTACATTGAATATGATTATTCCTTTCTCTATCTAAAGTTGTAATATTTTCATCACACCTGTGAATATTACTGATCCTTTGATGTCAATATGTTGTGTGCATAGGAGAAGATGCCCAATTTTCTTAAGGCCTTTTCAATCTTCAAGCAATGTTTGTGTTCTTCATATGGATGGCCAGACAGAAACACACTGGCTGATTGTTTAAGTCCTAAAATGGCTTAAAAATCTTTGTCAAGAAATAAATGCATGTTGTACACGCTGCCCCTACTGAACATTTGTGATCATGTTTACTTGCATTGAAAAAGAGACAGTAGTCATCAACATTCTGCTGAATACTTATTATGTGTATCAACTGTATCCCCATATTTGTTGGAAGACAGAGTCTTTGTCACTACAACAACTTAGAGATCACAGAATGCTGAGTACACAAAACTAGTGCTAAATCTAATACGCCATACCCTCTACCACACCCTTACAGTAACTTACACAGAAAGGCTGAGTGAGGAAACTATTCACACATATTGAAAACAGCCCTAAACAGACATACTGTTCTAATGACCAGCTAGCACCTTAAAGTATTCTGTGGTTTAAATATAAACATCAATGGAAATAAATCTTACTACATTCCCAAAAAAGTTTAATGCTGATGACAGCTAGCCTACAGGTACAACAATGGAATGTGAAAAAAAGAGCATTCACAGCATTGTCCAAAGGGACCAAGCTTATTTCTGTGCTAAGTTGATAATCTACATGTGTACAGCTTGTTTACACATTATTTCATGAAATACATTATAGACAGTTCCTTTATTTTACTTCCAGTAGACTATGATCCTTGGCAGGTCATGACAAAAAGTATTGAGTTTGTGGAGTACAGATCTAACATCATCTAAACTAAGTAAAAAAAATCCAATGCTGTCCATTATCTCTTCTTAAAGCCGTACTTCTTGCGCTCATAGAACAAATCTGTCTTGGCACTTCCCAGATTCACAATCTTTGGACAGCCATCTCTCTGGAAAGTAAAATAACAACAGTTAGCTTAATAGTACTTGTTGTTACAAATAGCAACCTGTGAAACTTAAAACATGTTTATATTTTGTGATTATTTTGGAGATTATCAGATAAAAAGATTTGAATAAAGAATGGTTCAAACAAACAAATGAAAATTGATACGCAACCTGGTGAAAGCATTTCTACTATTGGGTTGACATATACAGTTGAATATTGTGTTGAAGTGTTTCTCCTTGAAGGGTTGGACAAGTCCACTTGCCCAGGGCAAGTAAAAGGACTGTTCAGGCAAGCGAATATCCCCCTGAACTTTCCCCACTGGGCAAGTAAATTTCTAATTTTTTAAAGTGGTATTTTGCCCAAGTATAGCAGTATTTGAAGCAAAATTACTCATCATCTTTTAAAAGACTTAATCATGGGGGGAACAAAGACCACTCACATCCTTCTCCTGTATTGTGCACTCCTTACAATAGTAGGCGTCTGACACCCCCGGTCCTCCACAGATGACACAGCGGCCCTGGTACGAGCCGTAGTTACACTCATCACAGATCCTCACCAGTGTGCAGGGTCGGACATACGAGTCACAGATCACACACTTCCCATCACACTTCTCACACAGACGGCCAATAGCTGAAACAGATATGTGCATAAAATAACATTAAATAACATTCACTTATTTCTTTAATCTCAGGATGACTGGGTAGTGCTCAGATACGACGTAGTAAAATAAAGTATTTGCTAGTGTTCAGAACTTTCTTAGCCTTCAATTAAGTTCTTCTAGAGTGTTTTCTAGACATACATTGTAATCTACCAATTACTGAACTGTCAATCATTTCCAATTTTCCAGGCTTTTGCGGACAGTCCAAAGGCTTGCCATACCACTGGCTGTAAATTATTACAAATTTCCATACTTTGCTGATGTGATTCTCATGATGCTATAGACAATGTAATTTATTTGTCTAGGTCCGAGTCAAAACTCAGTCACAACGTAAACATCGAGTGATAAACACACAGTGGGTGCGCCTTCTAAAATAACGTTACAAGTTACTGCTCTCTGGTTAGGATAAAAATAAACTTATTTGAAATTTTAAAATTTAATACTGTACAACAATGGGAACAAAAAAACTCATGGTGAACTCGTGGTGGGAGGGGGGCACTAAGCGATGTACACTCTTCGACCAACACTCACCTACTCCTGGCTGTTTCCGGCAAAAAATCAAATCAGGATGATGCTTGGCCATCCCGTCTCTAGTCTGATCTGCTCACAGACGCACGAATCCGATGCTTTAGTCGAGACGACACGCAAAGACGTGGACAAATTTTCCCGCAACTCTGCAAAAACGTCGTGCAAACCTACACTATCCCACAATGCAGTACTCGGATATTGCACTAAAAAATGGGAAATCTTTCAACATATCTGTTATTACCAACATATCTGTTTCCACCAATTTATACAAACTCTTCATCTATCAATATCTATACATTATTTTTATAATAGTAGCTTGCTATTGAGTTTTAAAATGTTTGATAAAATCAGACTAGTCCATGTATTTATGGTTTAGTTGAATACCAGTCCTCCCTATGAAATAGTGAACCCGCCCAAAATAAGCGTTTCCGCTTCCGAAGTCGCGTGTCTTGCAGCGATTCTTGTATCGCGTCTTCCCCGCATGAGAAGCTGAGTTCGACTCAAGCGCAGATTTCGAGGCATTTTATAGACCTCACGTCGAAGTAAATACCAGCATTTTGAGAAATACAGACGCCTTCAAAGATGAGCAGCACGTTCGCGCGCGTAAGGCTGCGGTTTGACCAGCCGCCTCCGCTCCTGTTCGGGTCCGGGCCGGGAGCCTGGCTGCTAGTCGACATGGACTCCTGCCGCCTGGTGGCCGACCTGGAGTTCCTCATCAAGCGGCGCTTCGGCATGAGCAGGCGGAGGCGCCTCCACCTGTGGCTGGACGGGTTCCTCCTGCCGCCCACCGAGAAAATAGCAGTGGTTCGGGACGGAGATATCATCAGGTATGTTGTAGAATGTGGATACAAATATATTGTTGTTCCATATTTAGGGGCCAGGTCTATTCTATGCTAATAACTTTTATCAAAGTTATGCATTGAGTTTCTTTTATTGGCGAAGACCAAACAGAATGACTATAAAGATTATTCTTGAAGGCAAGAAATGGACTTCTCGCACTAAACTTGTGTTGAAAAACATACAAGGGATAGTGATGAATGAATTCATAGGTAGGACAACTTTTATTTGAATTAATGAATGGATGAAGGGCAAAAATTTACAAGCAATCAAGCCGCCTATCCTTTGTATTGAATTTTAACTCCAGTTTTGTTTGCTTTTACAGTGTTGAACAGACAGAAGAGTCAACAAGTGACCACTCTGTCCCGCCAACATCCGGTAACCAGGTGACCACCAGTGAGAGGAGACAGAAGAAGAGGAAAGTACAGACAAGTGAGGAGGATGAAGATGAGCCAGGTCCAGCCAAGCTCAGGATACAGAACAAAGACAGAAAGAGGAAGAAGCAGAAGTTCAATGGAAGTGACAGTGGAGTCAGTACTAGTTCATCTGCAGTGCCAGTTCCTGCCAAGGTGGCTGATAAAAAAACGAAAGACATACAAAAGGCACAGACAAAGAAGAAAGAAATACAGAGTAAGAATCCTGGAAAACCAAGCAAAGTAGCCCCTATAGCTCCTAAAGCAAGCAGAACAGGAAACAAAAAACACATTTCTAAACCTGCAGTGTCTAAGGGTTCTGCTATCAATGGAGGCAAACAGAACAGTACCAAGATTGTGAAACCTGTTGCAACAAAGTCTAGAGGAAAGGCTAAGGACTCGAGTAGTAGCAGCAGCTCAGAGGATACTAGCAGCAGTTCAGAGGACACTGACAGTGACTCAAGCAGTAGCGACTCAAGTTCAACTTCAAGTGATACTAGTAAAGAAGTCAAGCCAAGGAGCAGTGTGAATGTGAACACAAAGACATGCAATAGACCAGGCCTGGTTAGTAAGCCTCAGCAAAGGAAAAACAAACCTGATAATAGCAGTGATACTGGCACAAGCAGCAGTGACTGTAGTTCAAGTGATACAGATGGTAATGTCAGTGTTAACAAACAAACACAGAGCAGACAAGCTGCTGTTGGTATTCCTGAACAAAGGCACTCTAACCCTATATCGAATGGGAAGATGTCCTCTTGCAATGCCGGAAAGGTTTCCTCTATTGGTGGGACTATGTCACAAGCCCACATCTCAGTCCCAGCAGCTTCACCTATGATACAGGCACGTGACACCAGACATGTGTCTGTACTGAGTCTGAATGTACCCATCACTCATGGACTCCAGGCTGTCACTGGAACCGGAAAACAACAACCAGCTTCTAGCAGTCATCTCCATAAAGGGAAAGCTACTGGTTCACCATCAAAGGGTCACATTGTGTTTGATTCAGACTCGGAGAGTGACTCCAGTGGGACAGGTAGTAAAGGGGAGGATACTAGTATACAGCCCCATGCACCAGACAGGGTCATGGCCAGCCACATAGATGTCCCACAGACAAGCACAACTCAAGCCCCTGACCAAACCATTAATGTAAGTAATACTACACATACAGGGAGAAGAAGTACTTCTAATCTCTGGGACAATGTGCCATCATATACCGTAAGTGTTGACTCGTTCTACCAATTCATTCTAGTGACGCTAAAGAAGAGTGGAGGTGTCACTAGAAAAGTCTGAAAGAAATCTCTGCATTCTATTCAGTTGAGCACTTTAAATTGTCTATAATAAGTATATGTACCAGTAATGCGCCATTGCTAAATGTGTTTGCTGATTGCAGGCTGTTGTTTTCACTGTTGTGTTTTTATACATTTCAGGGGAGAAGACAGTCTTCCAGATTAGAAGATGCCCTGCCTCCAGCCCCCCCACCTGTACCTAAGGACTACACTGCCTTCCCACCGCTCCATGGACCACCTCGAGTGGGGGATAGGATTGCCTACAAGGTGAGTAAAACAGTCTGGTCTCTGGACTACACTGGTACTAGTAATACAGCCAAAAGCACATTGGGTATCTGGCATAGGACATCTGAATGTAAAGACCACCACCCCAAACAAGGAAATCAGAGATGGCAGACTTCACTCCTTCACCCATATTACTTTGTGACCTTTCTATTCCCACAGATAAAAAAAAACGTGCAGAGGATGTATAGCAGTACTACATGGTGTATGTTGGGAATCACAGAAACAAATGCATACAAAAAGAGACAGCCTGAAAATAATACTAAGTACTTCACTCTTTCGGGTTTGACTTTGAGGAACACTTAGTTTGATTTTTATTTGTTCAAACCAGAAGTGTCTAATGGTGTCAGGTCATATCCAAAACTTCCTCACACTTTACTTTTTATTTCCTTTGTTTGCAGATACTGGAGATGTCAGCAAACTACTGCCCTGAGATTTCATCATACAAGGTAAACACAGTTGGTCTTTATTTTATATGCACAGAAAAGCGATAGGGATGAACATCCGGTAAGCTTGTAGATATCATAATTATTGTGCATCAATGGTTTGACATGTGTGACTTCCTCTGTGATCATACCTGAAAATGCTACTAGATGGTACAGACAGATTGCAAATAGGTTAGGTAGACAGGATTTTATTATTGATGCCTTGAGAGCCCACACCCTCACCCTGTAACAGCACATTCTGAAGTCTGTTCAATATCCCATAAACCATCTCTGGTGTTGATTTTTTCCCAGGAGGCAGTAGTGACTGGGTATGACCCCTCGTCAGGTGACCTGCAGCTGGACATGGTGTATGACATCACAGCCTACAGTGAGTTCATATCTTATATCAACCTGTAGCACACTGAAGTAGCCGTTTGGTTACCAACTCTCTATTGGTTATGGAGTTAGACAGTATAAAGAAGGTTCAGCACAGTGTAACAATTTTCTAACATCATGATAAGCCTTGAGTACTTGTAACAAAATGCTTTCATAAATTACGTAAAAATGGGAGTACCTTTTACAGAAAACAAAAAGAAATACTGGTACATCTCTGTGCCAACAGTTGTATGTATTTTAAATGTGCTTGATTTTGTGATTTACAGTGAGGCAAAACCAACCCGGCAGATTTGAGATGGATGTGGACCTGGAAGAACAGGAGGACAAAACAGACAACAAGGTAGGATAATTGTGTAAATCCTAACACATTTTCTCATGCATCATGTCCAGAAATCTGCAGCCATGAAGACAGATTGGGTGGGACATGTATGCAAAGCCTGTGGTTTGTACTGGGCATCTCGTGGTGTAGTGAGCGGTGAGACTGCAAGATGGGGCCAAAAATGGCACCCCGAGGTCAACATTCCTTGTGGGCAAGTCATCCTCCCATTCAGTCACCAATAGAAAAGACATCTTGCCTAACATGCTACATGTTTTCTGTTGTTTGGAAGACTTGTCACTGTGACATGACGTTTAGTTTTACATTGCCTTCAAAACATGTGGGACCAAAGACATGCAGAGGTTTGTGTTTCTAGTGTATGATTTAACCAGTTATTTTCTTTCCTCATGTAGGTGACAGTGGCAGTCTCAGCTCTGGTGGAGCCCAGACTGGTGCAGGGCTAGTCCAACTAACAACAGGAAGCTGCAACATGCTAGTGTACTTCTGTAGTATAGGAGTCAAATTTATTGAAGTGTGTAGTAAATGAACAACTCTGCTGGGGTATACTTCTCCATGGAAAAAGGATCAGCATTATACTGCTTGAACTTGGAAAGAACATGGTGAAGAAACATACCTATCCCTGTGTAGTAGGTCAATAATCTAGTCCAACATTACATACTTGACCTTATCCCTGCTGCCTGATCCTGTAACCAATTGGTAGCCAAACATTTGCTTCAATGAGCTAAAAGTTCGACAGGTCACCAACATCCAAATTCCCAATAACTGTGAGATGTACATGGATCTTTAGCATTTCTTTTCATCTTTAGCAAGTGACTAAGGTACTGTTCCAATGTTGGTGCATTATGCCACCTGTAAGATACGTTGGGTCTTCTATTTTTTGTTACAGTTCTGTTACAGTTCACAATTACAGTTCAATCTTGATTAAGAATGACTTCTTCTAATAGAACTTTCCAGTTAAGGGTCTTTCATTAAAACATTTGCAGATTCCACTCATTTGCCATCGTTTATCCTTATTTATAGCTTTGATCTGTGCTCATCCACCAGGATCAATACAAGTAAAAGCAAAATAGATATCTTTTGTGTTAGTATAGCACAGGATGTAATAATTCATTACAAGTCATATCTGTACCTCGGCCTGTATGTGAACGATAGTTGCTACTGACAAGGCCACAGAGAATACGTGGTTTAGAAACTCACTCTCGCTACACAGAATTTAGTGAATCTGGAGCGGAGGTCTGCAGTAAAATTTGAGCTACTACAGATAGTTTTCTTTGGCGCTTTGTGACGTCGCATCTGGCGCAAGATAATGAAGTTTTCCGTCCATGTAGGCAGTTCAGCACCAAGGACAGGTGCCGGTATACTGGCAGTAACATGTCCATTTACAGCGGTGTCTCACCGAGACGTAAAGACCACATTCCCCCGGGCGACACCCGCTACAACATTTCTGATTGTGGCTGCAACTTGCACCTTCACGTATTCGGAGAACTTGGAGAACTCCGGGAATCTCTCGTAAAACATTAATTTACGGCTCAGCTTGCGGAAGGATCACGGCGGTCAACTCAGCACCCGGGCTCGCGTTACGGGAAGACAAAGCGGTGGTCCGCGGGGGGTCATTCCCAGACGCGCCGCGAGGAGGGGCCGTGCGCATCGCACACATTCTCCGGGGATGGAAAAAATGACCATCCTTGAAATATGACTTCTCTCTGGTCTATCTTAAATACTTGGTAGCACACTTCCAACGTATATCATCCCGCTTTGAAGGGATCGCCTTGCCATGTCAAGTGACCTTGAAAGCTGTTACATGGCGGTTTTTCCTAGTAGGGTATGGCAAGCCTATCACGTAATTACAGAACATTGGCCTTTATGACCCCCGATACCTTAATGCTAATATTTTTGCTATGCACTGTCACAGTGATCCCACGCACTAGATTCTGTGGCTAAAATTGGCGCTGGCGCCGAGCGGTAGTGAGCTATGCCGTGCTGGGAGATATCTGCCATTTTTCGCGCTCTCCGGATTTCCCAGGCAAGAGGCACCAGGATATTCGTTTGAAAACAAGCCCGGCTTTTCGCAAATCTTTACCTTTGCATAACTTCAGGAATGATACACATTTTTGGCGTTGAAATGCGCTTTTTGACCCAAATGTAAAGACAGTGGGCGATGATAGTACGTGTACGTCGTATTTGTTCGGTGCCGACGACGCGGTGTGTACGTGTACGTGTACGTACAGACTTGGTAAGAACGTGTTTGTCTGCGCTGTAATCGGTCATATATGTCTGCTGTAACACAATCCCCATGTCGGTGCAGGATAACTGTGTGGCACCACCACCTCTAACCGCGCTGTTTCTTCAAGTTAGCGGACTTGTCGTGACCTCTACTAATGTGGGAATTCCCGCAATGCCGGCTCCGTGTAGGGGGTACAAATCGCCGTGCCGCCGGCTCCTCCTGGATTTTGTGAGAGGGGAAAGCCGCGGCCAAGAATGTATCAATTCCGGTCGTCTTTCTGTCAGCGCGTGACACACATAACTGACATGGATACATAGCCCTAATACGAGGCGGTGCAGGCCGCGGGGCGGAGGCAGACGGCGGCGCGGCGGGACGTGGTCTCCGCGGTGTCGCCTGTCGGCCCAGACGACCGACACCGACTAACCCCAGCCAACCCCAGAAGGGCAAATATGTCGCAAATGCTGTTCATATCAGCTTCCGCCACACTTAGATACACAGCACAAACTCCGCGTGGAAACTACATCAAACCGATCGGGGACCGACCAAATTAGAAACAAGGTTTGCTCATTGATCTGTTTGCTGACACCGCCGACTCGTCGCGAGGAAAGACGTGTTGACATAGCTGAAATAGTAACAGGAAGACTGGCATAGACCAGCGGCCACCCCGCGGTATGAGCCCGACCCAGCCTGGCCATGATTTAGGGGGACAATGACACGCTATCCATCTGTACGGACTTCCTCCTCGCCTTCAGGAACAAGTGCGAAAACGTCGTACAACACTCCTTCATTTACATAAAGCGTTTAAAGGCATGACGTCATTGGTCCCTGCTAACATAGACTACAACAATACACCTGTACTGTGTACAGTGTATCAAACTGCACAACAAACTCGACAAAGAAACCGGAATAGCTGCGATATGGATTGTCCAGCGTTTGCAATTTGTGTCAGAAATGATAAATGTTCGTACCCAATTACAGTTGTATTAGACAACACTGATTGGTTTCTAATGAGGTCCAACATGAGACAAGAAATGGGAGTCAAAAATTTGTCCTTGTATGTCATGTAGAATGTGAAGGAATGTTTTACACGACAATGTTGAACTCTGCTAGAAGAACCTCGCTGAGAGTGATCTGCCCTGCTTAATTAAAAAGTTCTGAGATCACTGGGACGAAAAAGACAAAGTTTGTTTGAAATATCTCTGCGCAGAAATATCTCTCCGCCATGACCAAGTGATGTACCGCCCAAGTTATATGATCAGCGTCTCGCGCACCCGACAACAGGTAAAACACGCCAGCAATGCTGAATAATGACCGGCCCATGTTCAGGGTGATCGCACCACCCACACAACACTGGGCAGCGTGCGTCCCTCAAACATGGCACCGGCACCAGTCAATGCTGCCCCGCCGGGGAAGGAGGGCGGGGGTCAGGTTGGGGGAGATGTGTGCCCGGCTGTAAGACGATCTGGTCGGACCGCCAAGATCTGTCAAGCGGAAGTATTTGGTAATAGCCATCAGTAAGCAAACGTCGTGTGGACTTATCAACTAGGACTTACGGCGTAAGCTTCCCGATCAATTACCTCAGCAACGTAAGTGCTACTGAACGGAAAATAAGTCAAATCTTTCGTCACAATCACACGTGGAAGTTTGCTTGTATCGTTTTGTGGTCAAAGCACAAGAATGGTTCTGTGATATAGTTTTTAGGGAATGTGGTTTGGCTGCACTTCTGTCAGTCTGTTAGGCGTTCACGTCTTCTCATCAAGACAAACAAGCCTTGACTACGGCCGCATTTCTCCGCCGAACTATTGCTCTTATGGAGGGTGGTGGTCACTCCAACTTGGGAGGGGAAAGGCAAATGACCAATAGTGTAAGGCGAAGGCCACTTACTCTGTACAAAACTTAAAAAATCCCAACATTTTGCTTGCAGGTCGTCTTCCTTGTTTGTCCGAGTATCCTAATTCCTAACTCGGGAACATAATCTGACTGTGTGTACTGTGAAAAGGCATAGCTATAGATGGTGAGAAATATGGATAGTAAAGTACAAGATAGCAGGAACGCCACGTGTTTTTGCACTTCACTGGCGTATTTATTTGTATAAGAGAAATCCTGGCATTTGTGTGGCTCCAAAGGCGGGTGCTGGTAAGAGACCCCTGAACATATTTTGACTAGACCCGATGTCGCTCCCCTCCCAGGGACCCCAGTGTTGTGTACATAACGCAGTGTGGCGATATTTCCACAGGAATATTCTTTCTGGCGCGTGCCCGTATTTGTCTACGCTTTCCTGGTAACAACCAGATACACGTTGTTGGTACCATTGATCATAGGACTCCTGGCTGTATGTTATGCGGATGGCCGCTGGCACTTGCTCGTGTTCTCGCTGCCGGGATCCGGACATCTCTGTGCGACCCACTGCTTCGATATGGAAGATGCGTCAATAAGACCGACGAAAACAAACTTTGCCGCCGTTTGACCATTTTTAGAATACCACACATCAAGGGGACCCTCTTCAAGCTGTGAGTCAGAATGACGTTGGGGCGCCAGTGGCCAGGAAAGGGCACCCCATAGGGCTAGCGGCCGGGCTGCAGACCAGTCAGGACAGCCGGCCCGCAGAGACGCACCCGTGGCCTTCGCGTCTTCGGGGCTAGACTCGGCGCCGCTTCCTGAACTACTTCCGTTGTCAGAGTGACGTGAGAGGATTTCGAGTGTATCTGAGAGGTAGATGGTCTAAAACGTCGCGCCAAACGTTCCCTGGCGACAGAGCCGAGGTCAGGAGAAGAAAGGGAGATTGCGAAAGAGAGAGAGAGAGAA